GCCTCCAGAAGCGGTGAATGCTCCAACACTGGAAGTTTTTAAGAAGAGACTGGACAGCCATTTGTCTGAAATGGTATAAGGTTTCCTACCTGAGCAGGGGGTTGGACTCGATGACCTCCAAAGTCCCTTCCAACTGTGTTATTCTGCTATTCTCTCAAAGTCACATTCCCCTAATTTACACCTTCCTTACTTTTTCATATCCTGGAAAATCTCTCTTGCCTAATGGCTCTTATCAGATTCTGTCCAACTTACACCTCTGTCCGTTCCTTGGATGCCAGATGTAAGTCCCAAAGGTTGCAATTAGCTGTTGCTTCATAATTTACGAAACCTCACTGATCTGTCGGGAATGAACCCCTTCCCCAGAGGGTTGTGTAGTAGGACATTGTGTGCATCTAACATTAGACAAACAAACCACATATTTCTCTTTGACAAGGGAAATGACCAAAGCAGGAAGCTTTCGTACCAGTTTGTTTCCATATAATGAACTACCTTTGGCCAGCTTCCTGATTATATAAATAACTATTGCTGCATTGAAATAGTTACTCCACACTTGGTTGTGATGAACTCATGACAGGTCACCATTGTCTTCCCTGTTTTTTAAACTTCTGATGGGGGCTTCAGCAGTTGGAGGGGACAACAGGGAACAATTCCAAATTCTTTTGGGGAGCTCCTGAGCCATTTCTTAGCGCTCTTCAATTTCCTCAAGATGTTTGAAGAAGCTGGCCCAGAAATGGCAATCTTTGTAACATTAATTTGTTTCACCTACGTTCTGAGAAACTTGGCAAAAATTAATGCTTATATTTAAATTCTGGCACTCAGGGAGCAAACTGCCTATTCAATAGCAGATGCTTGAACAATATCGAGAGAAAAATTGAGAGAGAAAAAAATCACAATATTTTCTTCTACTCCTAAGCATTGTGTAAGAGCTTTTTGATTTTTTTTTTTTTTTACCCTGGCAACATCTGAGACATCCTTCAACTTCTTCAAGTAGTCCTCGACTTACAACCATTTGTTTAGTGACTGTTCAAAGTTACGACGGCCCTGAAAAAAGTGACTTATGACCATTTGTCACACCGATGACTGCATCTCCACGGTCACATGATCTAAATTTGGACACTTGACAGCTTCCTCACATTTATGATGGTTGCAGTGTCCCGGGGGGTCATGTGATTCTCCTTTTGTGACCTTCTGACAAGCAAAAACAATGGGGAAGCCAGATTCACTTTACAATTGCGTCACCAACTTCACAGTTGTGGGGATTCGCTTAGCGACTGTGGCGAGAAAGGTCCGTAAAATGGGGCAAAACTCACTTAACAACTGTTTCACTTAGCAACAGAGATTTTTGGCTCAGTTGTGATCGTAAGACGAGGACTACCTGTTCTTCAGAATGAGATCTTACCATCTTCTTTCCATCTTCTTTGTCCTAGCTTAACAGTGCTAAAACTTTTTATTGGGAGGTTTCTCTTAAATGTTTGCGTTAAATTTGCTCCTTATGAAAGAAATTATCCTGTGTCCTTTTGGTTGACAGTCTACTTCTTCTCCAGCCAGTGGCCTGATGTCTGAAATTATAATCATGTCTCCTCTTAATTTTCCATTCTCCAGATTTAGTAAGTAGACATCTTCCAATGCTTGTTCCCAAGAGAGAATAGAATAGAATAGAATAGAATAGAATAGAATAGAATAGAATAGAATAGAATAGAACAGAACCTTGGAGGTCTTCTAGTCCAGCCCCCTGCTCAAGCAGGAGAACCTATACCATCTCGGACAGGTGACTGTCTAGCCTTTTAAAAAAAATCTCTATTGATAGAGCGCCCACAATTTTTGGAGGCAAGCTGTTCCACTGGTTGATTGTCCTCACTGTCAGGAAGTTTCTCCGTAATTCCAAGTTGCTTCTCTCCTTGATCAGTTTCCAACCATTGTTTCTCGTCCTTTCCTCTGGTGCTTTGGTGAACAACGTGACCCCCTCTGCCTTGTGACAGCCCCTCATATACTAGCACACTGCTATCATGTCTTCCCTATTTCTTCTTTTCTTTAAACTAGTCAAATCCAAGTCCCGCAGTCAAATTCCAGTTTCCAATTTCCAAATTTTCTTTGCCCTTCTCACAATATAGTATCCCAAATTGGGTACATTATTTTAAACACAGCCTGGTTGACAAAGTATAGCTGGATTTTATTTGTTCAGGATTTGACACACTGTTCCTGGTTAATGCAATTTGAGAATCCATTACCACTAATCTCTACAGCAGCTTCCTTATTTCGCAGCTTCCTCACTTGAGCTTCTACCAAATGTCCCAATCAAATATATGCATGCAGTGGAGGGGTGACTGGGGATAAAACCATCTCAAGATGTGTCTTCAGGAACACCATCCCCGTGCTCATTTCCCAGGATTTTTTAACCCAAAACTAAACCATTCTAATACTTGCAGTAGATTAGTTTAATGTATATATCAATAAAATACCTCTTTGGAAATGCATGTGTGACATGACATGCTTGCTGAAATAATTCCTTATTTATTCATTTGGTGTGTAACTGCAGTTCTTCCCAGAATGTCTTCAAGCATAACCCTTCAAGACTTTGTGCTTGAGGTGGAAAAAAATGAAATGTTGATTTTGGGCTTCACTGATTAGATAGATTTGTTGTTATTAAAATGGCTAATTCAGGGGTAGGCAACCTTGACTCTTTTATGACTCGTGGACTTCAACTCCCAGAATTCCTGAGCCAGCCATGCTGAGGGGAAAAGGAAAGGTTTCCAAGCTGAGCCATGCTGGCTCAGGAATTCTGGGAGTTGAAGTCCACGAGTCATAAAAGCTAAGGTTGCCTACCCCTGGGCTAGTTTATACTATTAAGTAAAAGTAAAAAGTTGAAGTTTGATGTTAATGTTCTATTCTACTGCACCAAGTCAACGCCCCCCCCCTTTTTTGCCCTTGCTTTCCCTCACTTTCCTCTTCTCTTTCCTCTTCCCTAACTTTCCTACTATTACTTTGTATTTTCTTTGCATCTTACACTATAAATTAATAAAATTCATAAACAAGAATGATTATGTTTAGAGAGTCCAAAGTTGTAACTGTTTTATAAACACCATAAACTGAAGAGTTAAACCTGCTCTGTTTCTAGTGGATTTTACTATTGAAAATTAAGACCAACTCCATTAGTGGTCAAAAGTACAACAGTGAATATCTAGCATCTCCCCTCTTAATTTATTTCCTGCCTTTACTATTGTTTATAAATACACATGGTGGTAAGCATACCTAATTCTCTTTCCTCCTCCCATTTTCCCCACAATCACCACCTTGTGAGGTGGGTTGAGCTGAGAGTGAGTGACTAGTCCAGGGGTAGGCAACCTTGGCTCTTTTATGACTTGTGGACTTCAACTCCCAGAATTCCTGAGCCAACATGGCTCAGCTTGGAAACCTCTTCCTTTCTCCTCAGCATGGCTGGCTCAGGAATTCTGGGAGTTGAAGTCCACAAGTCATAAAAGAGCCAAGGTTGCCTATCCCTCGACTAGCCCAAAGTCACCCAGCCAGCCTCCATGCCTAAGATGGAATTCAACATCTGCCAAAAATGGTGTAGGGTCTCCTATTGGGCAGGGGGTTGGACTAGATGACCTACAAGGTGCCTTCCAACTCTGTTATTCTCTTCTATCTCCTAGTGATTGTCCCGAAGTCATCCAGCTGACTTTCAAGCCTAAGGCGGGGACTAGAACTCATAATCTCTTACTGATTGACTCAACGTCACCCAGCAGGCTTTCAAGCCTAATTAGAACTCAAAGTCTCCTGGTGATTGGTCCAAAGTCATCCAGCCAAGTTTCATACTTAAGAACTTACACTCTCCTGCTTTCTAACTTGGTGTCTTAACTGTTAAACCAAACAGGCTCTTTTTGTGTGTAGCTTATGGAAGAAATTTCAGAACTGATATGGATGTTTCTTCAGAATTTACAAAGGAGATTCTGGGGGGGAAAGCAGTGCCATTTTATCATGCTCCTTGACCTGGATTGCTCTTCCTAATTTGTGTAGCTCTGTAGATTATAAATATGTATATTTAATTTATGAATTCTATTAAATGTCAATTTAATTCATTAGTTCAATTAATTTAATTTATTAGATAATTATGCTTATACATAATAGTCTAAATGACAACTCCAGCCTCTCCAACTAGCATGGTCCTGTTGAGGGTGCAGAGTTTTAATTCACCCACCTAGTAAGGAGCATAGGTCTCCAGACCTGATAAGCACCTGAAGGCAGGGCAAGAAGCAATGGATGGAAACTAATCAAGGGGGGATCCAACCTAGAATTAAGGAGAAATGTCGTGTGTGTGAGAATTATTAAGTAGTAGAATGACTTGCCTCCAGAAGTTTGAGTGCTCCAACACTGGAGGTTTTTAAGAAGAGATTGGACGACCATTTGTCTGAAATGGTATGGGGTTTTCCTGCTTGAGCAGGGGGCTGGACTAGAAGACCTCCAAGGTCCCTTGCCAAGACACTTCCCCCATTTGAGTTTGCACAGGAAAGAGACCCATTTGAGAGCCTCCACATGTGGCTTTTTAAAAATGCAGATCCCCCCCTTGATTAGTTTCCATCCATTGCTTCTTGCCCTGCCTTCAGGTGCTTATCAGGTCTGGAGACCTATGCTCCTTACTAGGTGGGTGAATTAAAACTCTGCACCCTCAACAGGACCATGCTAGTTGGAGAGGCTGGCAGTTAATTCTGCACTCCTGTCTTATCAGTCTGGCTGATGTTGTCTAGACTCAAAAACCAACCAAAGTTGAATAGCGGATGCCTGAAAATCCCAGTTTGGGTTGGAAACCATCCCTCTTGAAGGCAAGAACAGGTCATGAGTTCTCCCAAATTTTAAAAATTAAGCTCAGCTCAATGTGTTTATGTATGTGGGGGGGGGGGGCTTGAACCAGGAACCCCTGAAACTCCATTTTTCCAACTTTAGTTCACGGCGCATGTGAAGAAGGCGGCCCCGTTTGGGTTTTAATAAATTAAATGACCTTGGTGTTAGATGTTACCATCGTCTTTATTAGGAAGTGGAATAAAATTGCACACAAAGGAGTCATTTTAAAAAAAAAGAGAGAGAGAGGAGGGGAAGGAAGAGGAAGAATCACCGTGAACACAACATAGATTTCGATCTCTTTTGGATGGATCTCGAGAGAAGGGAGAAAGAGAGACTTGTGTCTGAGGTCAGGGCTCCCAAATCCCTTCCTTTTTGATTGGTGAAAGAATATCAACATTTAGAAATTCAAAGGGCCAACAGACTCAGCAGCAAAAGACGGCAGGTGGGGAGGAGTGTCACCTGCCAGTCTCCATAGAGAAGAAGGAAGGAAGTTATTTCCAAGGAACAGAAAACCATGCTGATTACAAGAAACCTGGCGGCTCCAAAGGATTAAAGCCCGGAAGTCTTTTTGTCTGCTCTCCAGTGATGTCCTCAAGGGGGGGGGGGTAGAAAGGATGCCTCGGTTTTCCGAATGGAAGGCTTAGGCCAGGGCCAAGGCACACCAGGAGTCTTGACGAGGGCCAACGTTCAGACCCAACGGCTGGGACATGGCGGATGCTGGGAAAGTGTAGTCTTCTGGCTCGTACTTGAACTGGGGATGGGGGTCCTCCAGCCCGTTTTCAGAATGACTTGGAGCCTGCAGGGATCAGGAATTAGTCAATGAGTTCATCACCACCACAGGTAGGAGGGCTGGCAGTCAAACGCCACAATCCCAAATCCTTATTAATCTCCACCCACACCGACAGCAGACAGCACCAATTCAACTGGAGCAGGGGTCGGCAACCTTGGCTCTTTTATGACTCGTGGACTTCAACTCCCAGAATTCCTCAGCCAGCATGGCTCAGCTTGGAAACCTCTCCCTTTCCCCTCAGCATGGCTGGCTCAGGAATTCTGGGAGTTGAAGTCCACGAGTCATAAAAGAGCCAAGGTTGCTTACCCCTGGACTGGAGCAACACAAAAATCATCGGCCATACTACCACCCGCCTCGCTCGTGAGTTCATCGAAGCCTGGTACTCCACAAGCAGTTCCATCCACACACACATCGACGTACAACCAGCCTACAAACCCCTCAGCATCCAAATCAACCGCACAGCCAGCCAGAGACAGCACTGATCCTCAACCAGCCCACGCAAGCCCCCCATCCCTCCCACCAGTTCATCTCCCAATATACTTGACCTGATGTAGCCTCCCCATCACAAACCTCTCATGATGGCTCCCATCTGACCCATCACAAGATTCATCCCAAGACCCTCACTGGACACACCCACACCTGAAGCCCTTATAAACAGAAGATCACCGACATCCCCTCTAAACTCCGCTGAAGATGTTACCTAGCCTGGTAACGAAACGTTCAGAAACCAACCCACGAACTTGGAGAACAGACCTCCACGCTTATCCTACACCAGAGCTAGAGATATTTGCCTCTATTGCAAATAAGACATTCTTAAAGACATTTGTTGGGTACCGTTCTGGCTCTTGTTACAGGGAGTCCTTGATATACAACCCTTCATTTAGTGCCTGTTCAAAGTTACAATGGTACTGCAAAGAGAGGGACTTACAAGTAGCTCTTCTGCTTATGACTTTCCCTGTTACGTGATCAAAATTCGGACTCTTGCAACCGGCATGGCTGCAACATCCTGGGGTCAAGTGATCCCGGAGTCAAGTGATCCCCATTTGTGACTTTCCTAGTCAATGGGGGGAAGCCAGATTCATTTAATGACCACATGATTCACTTAACGATTGCCGTGATTCTCTTTTAATAACTGTGCCCCCCCCCAAAAGTTGTAAAATTGAACACGACTCGGTCCCCCCAGGTTACTTGCTTAGGCTTCTCAATTTTGTAGCAAACTGCTTTTTTTAAAATACACGCGCGCGCGCACACACACACACACACACACACGGCTGTTTTTGCAATGTGTCTATTGAAAAAAAATGACATAAAAGTTTGTTAGGAATCCAAGTACTTCCTCAACTTGCAACTATTCATTCATTATACGGCATTGAAAAAATTTGGGCGCCTGGCAACTGGCGTGCATTTCCAGTGGTTGCCGAGCAACTAATTTGGGTCACATGATCACTCCTTGCGACCTTTCCAGATGGTTTCCGACAAAATCAGTGGGGGGAAAGTCAGTTTCACTGAATGACTGCACGATTCGTTTAGTGACCATGGTGATTTATTTAATGGTCCGCAGCAAAAAAAAAGTCATAAAATTGGGCACGGCCCACTTAAACACTGCCTCGCTTAGCTATGGAAGGGCCAGTCCCAAAAATTGTGGTTGTAAGTTGAGGACTTACATTGGTGTGAGGTCCCTGCTGATTGTACTGACCTGGGAAGTCGACACTATTGCTTGTCCCGGATATTGTGGGGTAATGGTGGGTTCGGTTTTTAAAGTGACTGTGCTCTCTGAGTTTGTAAGTGAGGAAGGAGAATTGGTGGTTGAAGTTGTGGAACCTGAGAGTGATAGAAAATATATATAAATATATATATTAGAATTGTATATTAAGGAACGCGTCAAGCAGATCAAGCAATTATCACCCACAATTGTCTCATATTGTCATTCATTTGTATTTCCATCGACTTCAAAAGTTTTCACTGCTTTATACTATACCAGAGGTAGGCAACCTTGGCTCTTTTATGACTCGTGGACTTCAACTCCCAGAATTCCTGAGCCAGCCATGCTGAGGGGAAAGGGAGAGGTTTCCAAGCTGAGCCATGCTGGCTCAGGAATTCTGGGAATTGAAGTCCACGAGTCACCAAAGTGCCAAGGTTGCCTACCCCGGCCTAGTCCATTGTTTCTCCACCTCAGCAACTTTAAGAGGTGTGGACTTCAACTCCCAGAATTCCTGAGCCAGCCATGCTGAGGGAAAAGGGAGAGGTTTCCAAGCTCAGCCATGCTGGCTCAGGAATTCTGGGAGTTGAAGTCCACGAGTCATAAAAGAGCCAAGTTTGCCTACCCCTGTACTATAGAGATAGTCTTCCACTCACAATCATTTGTTTAGTGACCATTCAAAGTTATGGCGGCACTGGAAAATTGATTTAAATCATTTTTCACACGTATGACCATTGCGGCATCCCTGGGGTCACATGATCAAAATCCCGATGCTTGGCAACTGGTTCATATTTATGACGGTTGCAGTGTGCCGGGGATCACATGATCCCCTTCTGCGACCTTCTGAGAAGCCAAGTCAAGGGGGAAGCCCCTTAACAACTGCATTATTAACTTAGCAACAGCAGTGATTCACTTAAGAACCGTGGCAAAGAAAGGTGGCAAAATGGGGCAAAACTCAGTTAACAAGTGTCTCGCTTAGTAACAGAAATTTGGGGGTTGTGGGCGTAAGTCGAGGGCTACCAGTACGATGATGAAGGCCAAATGCCACTCCATCTGGTTGTCTCTTGGTTAGGATTCTAACTTATCTTTCCATTAACTTCCCGTTCCATTTATAAGTTGCCACACTGATCAAAGGAGCTCTCCATAGGCTCCAGAAAATAAGCATTAAAAGCAGAAACCCTATAGTAAAAGGGAGATTATCTCAGACCCTGTCAGTGAACAACAATACGGTAAAAAAAACAGTTTTAAACCACTCTTTTGACCCTGAGAAGGCCTTGCTAGGATTGTAGGGGGAAGCCCAGCGTTTTCACAAATAAGAAAGAAAACCTAAACAACTCTGAAGAACTTAATGAGCTCAGTGGCCCTGAAATGCCATGAATACTTGCTAAGTGCTGGATAAGAAAACATTTCAGAATTGGTGGGAGTTGAACTGAAAATACAGGAAGAGGGCAGAGGTAGCAGAAATCTCCAAAAATGTCTGCCCTGTAACGTTTTGTTTGGATTCCGTTATGCATTTATTTACAGTCTTGCTGCCAAAGCACTCAAGAAGGTTTACAGTTCAAAATGACTGAAATCAATCTTTAACCATCATTCTTTGTCAGAGCTAGGCAAAATCATGGGGAGTGATCCATCCTGAAATTGCAGTGCTTTGGGCTAAGAATTTGGATAGGGCAAGGTTGAAAATAAAACACAACTCCCGGTTGTCCCAGAGCTGCAAAAAATGTAGTTCACAAATCAGATGAAGCTAATAACTTGCTTACCCTTAGTTTGTTGAAGTAACTATCACCTATCACTTATAGAACTAAGATGTAAAAACTAAGATCTGCAAGCCACAATGGATGCATTCATACAATACACTAAGCCAGCATTTCCCAATGGGACTCTTGCTATATGCATTGGGACTGCGTTTGCTTTTATAGTATTCCAACATGTCTTGATGCTTCTAAGCTAGACATGGCTACGCTAAGCTAAAATCAACCAAATGACATTATCTGTCAGAACCCTGTTTAAATTCAGTCAAAGAATAACTTAATCAAATCTAGGTTCCTTTCCTAAATCCTTATCTTCTTTCTTTCTGCTCTCCTTCCAGAGAATTTAATAGCAACAGCACCTAGACTTATATACTGCTTCACAGTGCTTTACAACGCCCTCTAAGCAGTTTACAGAGTCAGCATATGGCCCCCCAACAATCTGGGTCCTCATTTTACCAACCTCGGAAGGATGGAAGGTGAGTCAGCCTTGAGCCAGTCAGGATCAAACTGCTGGCAGTGAGCAGAGTTTGCCTGCAATACTGCATTCAAACAACTGCATCATGATGGTTCTGACAAACAACAACACTTTGGGGACTTCAAGATGTCTTCTACTGCAGTGGCCCCCAACCTTTTGGGCACCAGGGACCAGTTCTATGGAGAGAGGTTTTTCCATGGCCCAGAGGGGTGTATGATTTTGTGTGCGGATGGACTTTGCTTGATTGCGCAGCTCAGTTTTCTGGCATGCTGCAGCCCAGTGCTGGTCTGTGGGCCAGGGGTTGGGAACTCCTGTTCTACTGTTGAAAAATGCTATGCATTCTGAGAAGCAATAACAAAGATAGTCCCCAACTTATGACTGTTCAGTTAGTGACCGTTTGAAGTTCTGATGGACCTCCCCAGAGCTATTTATAATCTAGATTCAAAGTTCCAGTGGCCATCCACCCCTCCCTCACCCTGCATTTAGGGCCCACTTGCAGCCTCCCACAATCACATAACCACAATTTAAAAAGTTTTGTTGCAGAAATCTGGCACTTACTTCTGGCTTCCAGCCAAAACAAAAAACAAAAAAACCCCACCCATTAAGGGACAATGGATTCCTTTGATGACCCCCCCCCGTGTTTATTTAACAATGCAGTGATTTGCTTAACAACCAGCCTGAAAAAGGTTGTAAAATCAGATGTGCTTACACACCAATCCACTTAATGACCAGCACTACTTAAAACTGTGTAATTGTCATCTCAATTTATGGACTAACAAATAGAATATCCCCAAAGTATTTTTTTCAAGAGCAGCTGGACTCTCTTTGTTTTTCCTTGAAGATGTTTCGCTTCTAATCTAAAAGAAGCTTCTTCAGTTCAGAGCTTGGATGAGAAGAGAAATGTCTTCAAGGAAAAACACTTGAAGCCTCTTGAAAAAGTACTTTTGGGACCCCCCTGACTTGGATGACAGCGAATTCTCCGTAGACATTTAGCTGTGCACTAACAAACAGAATAATAATGAAACTCACTGTTTGTTGAGGATTTGCTTTTACTGACGTTTTTAGGTTTCCGTTTTCTGGTCTGGATGCTTTCCTTTTTCATTGCCAGAGGTCTTGGCACCTTGACATAAACAAACAAACAAACAAAAGGCATAAACCTTCAATACTTTTGCAGTTTCTGCTCTAGATGGCTACAACACATTCCTTTCTGCATGCGGACCGGAATTTGCACACAATATATCTCACGTCCTTGTCCTTCACTGCAGACTGTTTTCCTCAATGGCAGTCCTTGGCTAGTAAATGAGTGAGGCGCAATCTTTGGGAAACTTCCCAAATGATATATTATCGTTCCTCCCAGTTCTCTGCAACCACCACACAGCATCCCAAAGGTGCTTTTTTCAGGAGGCAACTGGACTTCCTAATTTTTTCTTTGAAGACGTTTCACTTCTCATCCCAGAAGCTTCTTCAGCTCTGACTGGATGGTGGGGAATGGAAGGATTTTTATACTACTTGCAGAGAGCTGGTCATTTGCATTCTTTTAGAGAGTCACTGAGGCTATTTGGAGGTTTACCTGTGTCCTCAAGGTCACCTGAGTGTGCAAATGGGTGTGGAGCCTTCTTGGCTGCAGGATGTTTTTCTGCCCTGGGTCCCTTATCCATTGAAGACAGGCACGGGCTGATGGGGATGAGTCTGTGTTGTCTGCATCTCAAACTGAAGCGCAAATGGTTCCTGTAGCCTGCAGTGTTTTCTGGAAATCCATTCATACTCCCGCACCATTCGAAGGGCGTTCATCCCATTGCAGTCTACGGCAGTGGTCCTCAACCTTTTTAATGCTGCGACCCCCCCAACCGGTCGTAAGTCAAGGACTACTCAACTGGTCGTAAGTCGAGGACTACTCAACTGGTGCAGCACCGTTTGCAGAATGGAACTTTTGGTGGGCTCAGCAGGGCAGAGACAGCTTGGACAATTCCTATTGGCTTTTGAAAGCCAATAGAATTAGACTCTATTCAAGAGAATCTATTCCATTGGCTTTCAAAAGCCAACAGAATAAAAGGGAGTAGCACAGCTAAGGAAAAGGGGGGGGGGGAAATGGCAGACTGCGTTGTTTGGCAACCCCCGTGAAATGGTCATTCGACCCCAAATGGGGTCCCGACCCACAGGTTGAGAACCACTGGTCTACATGAACCATTTGCGCTTCAGTTTGAGATTCAGTTTCAGTTAGTAACAGAAATTCTGGTCCCAGTTGTGGTTGTAAATCAAGGATCCCCCATCCCCTGCTCAAGCAGGAGACCTTACACCCAGTGGTGGGATTCAGCCGGTTCGCACCAGTTCAGCAGAACCGGTAGCTAATTTTTTTGTTGCCCAGGCCCAGAACGGACTTCCAGAAGCGGCATCCACACAGAGAACCGGTTGTTCACATATTTGAATCCCACTACTGCCTGCACCATTCCAGATAATTTGGCTCTTTGGTCTCTTCTTAAAAACCTCCAGTGGTGGAATACCCACAACCTCCAGAGGCAAGTTGTTCCATTTATTAATTGTTCTCACTGTCAGGAAATTTCTCCTTAGTTCTCATTTGGATCTCTTTTTTCCACCTTCTGGTCCTGCCTTCAGGTGCTTTGGAGAATAGCTTGACTCTCTCTTCTTTGTGGCAGCAGATATTGGAACACTGCTATCATGTCACTCCCCAGTTCTTCTTTTCATTAAGCTAGACATACCCAATTCCTGCAACCGTTCCTTGTATGTTTTAGCCACCACTCCTCTAATCATCTTTGTTGCTCTTCTCGGCCCTCTTTCCAGAGTCTCAACATCTTTTTTACATTGTGGCGACCAAAATTGAATGCAGTAATCCAAGTAGGGCTTTAGTAAAGCAGTACATAGCAGTACTGATATTTCACATGATCCTGATATTATTATATTAGTATTATATTATTCCTCTGTTGTTACAACCTAGGATTGCATTGACCTTTTTTTGGCAGACGATGGTTAGTCATGAATTTAAAAGATGCTTGCACCTTGGCAGGAAATCTATGGCAAACCTAGACAGCATATTAAAAAGCAGAGACATCACTTTGCCGACAAAGGTCTGTATAGTCAAAGCTGTGGTTTTCCCAGTAGTAAAGTATGGCTGTGAGGGTTGGGTCATAAGGCAGCTCAGAAGAATTGATGCTTTTGCATTGTGGTGTTGGAGAAGATTCTTGAGAGTCCCTTGGATGACAAGGAGATCCAATCAGTCGGTCCTAAAGGAAATCAACCCTCACTGTTTGGAAAGATAGAGACTGAAGCCGAAGTTCAAATCCTTTGGCCACTATTTAATGAGAAGAGAGGGATCATTGGGAAAGACCCTGCTGTTGGAAAGATGGAAGGCAATAAGAGAAGGGGATGGCAGAGGAGGAGATGGTTAGATGGTGTCCTTGATGCAATGAATCTGGGAGACAGTGGAAGATAGGAAGGCTTGGCATGCTATGGTCCACAGGGATGTGAAGAGTTGGACATGACGTAGCAACAACATCCAAGCAACTATTCCTGAACGATAATTATTGATAATCAACACATCAAAGTATTAAAAAGTATAAATAAATGCAGGAAATTATGCTCTCTTCTTACCCCATGGAGTTTCATGTATAATCCACAGGCGTTGCACACCGGCTCCCCATCTGCGTTCCGTCTCCAGAGGGTTGTGTTGGTCGTGTGACAGTTAGTGCAGCAAAGACCAGCTCGACGAGTTGAAGACTGCCAAGGAAAAGCAGAGAAACAGTCTTAAGAACAGAAGCACATTTTGGGAAGGAGGGAGAGCCAAGGAAAAAAAAATTATGATGAGGCATCAATTAGGAGGCAATCAAAATTAAAACCATTTCCCGAAACATGAAAAGGCTTGATCCCACATTAAAGGCAACACAGCTCATTGGAAGCAATAACAATCTGCTGAGATCATGTCTTTTTGCAGTGTGCATGTTTTTTTTTCTTTTTGAGGTTGTGACATACTCTGGTAATATCCCTTTAAATCCTCTTCCCTGAATTTAAGTGGACTTTTGCCAGAGAAATCTTTCACAAAGCACCAGAGGAGAAGCTAAGCCAAAGATTTAGCACTGTGTGTCCTCTCTCTCTCTTTCTCTCATCTCTCTCTTGCTCTCATGCATTTGTGTGCATACACACACAAATCTATCTGTCCATCCCTCTATCTATCTATCCATCTATCTATCTATCCATCCATCTATCTATCTATCCATATCTATCTATCCATCCATATCCATCTATCCGTCTATCCGTCTGTCTGTATGTCTATCTATTTATCTGTCTGTCTGTCTGTCTATCTATCCATCCATCCATATCCATCTATCCATCCATATCTATCCATCTATCCATCTATCTATCCATATCTATCTATCCATATCCATCTATCCATCTATCTATCTATCTATATGTGTAATCCAAGCCCGATCTGCTTTGATGTGTACCAACCCATCCCCACACAGACACATACAAAACAGACTTTTGCAAAATTCAAGAAAAGTACTGGGTGCTTTCAGAATTGTTTGAATGAGTGACTCATGAAAGCAGCTGCATTTTTGTTTTGCCTTGTGATGCTAAACAACCATGCGAGTTAACCACCTTTTTATTCCCATGATAAACTCCAAGGCAAAGAAATACATACGTGATGAATCAAAGGACAACTTTAAAACATAGCTCGTAAGTTTTCCCAAGATCAAAGATCATTGCATCATCAAAAACTCTCTGGCTCTTTTGCTTTTAACATTTTTAGAATTTTAAAAAAGAGAAGGCCCTTAAGCTGTGCAAACAGGTTTGCATTAAGATCATTTCTCTGCTCTGCTCTGAAGAGTAGGAAACAGATCCTTATTAGAGGCAGTGCTTGACTTATAATCATTCATTTAGTGATTGTTTGACATTACAGAGGACTTATAATCAGTCCTCACACTTATGATTGTTGCAGCATCCCTAGGGTCATGTGATCAAAATTTGGGTGCTTGGCAACTGGCATGTAAATATGACCCTTTAGTTAGGAGAGGCAACTGTGAACATCTAAGTCAGGGGTTCTCAACCTTGGCAACTTTAAGGCTTCTGGACTTCAACTCCCAGAATTCCTCAGCCAGCTTTGCTAGCTGAGGAATTCTGGGAGTTGAAGTCCACAAGCCTTAAAGTTGCCAAGGTTGAGAACCCCTGACTAAGTGTTTCTACAACATGACTACAACATCCATCAACCATTACCCTTGGTCACCCCAACAGGGTCTATGACAAATCACCACAGCCAAGTCACCACAGGACAAATGTGGGCAACTCAGTGCGGGACAAGAGTTACACTCATATCAAATAAATGGTTGAAAAGAATTATTAAAGAAAGGATTGCCAAAGGAGGGGAAAAAAATGAAATGTGAATGACAAAAATCGGAATGTTTTTGTATTTATAATTGTATTTATTTATTTATAATTGAAATGCTTTATTTATAAATTTTATTAATAAAAATAATTCAATTGAATTGTTAAATTGTCCAGTGGGGAGTCATTCCACAGCAAGTTGGTTGTGGCAAATTGTCCCGCAACAAGCTGGCCGTGGTGAGTTGGCTGCAGCGAATTGTCTCATTCTGACCCAAACAAGAGGATACTGGGAATTGTAGTTCAGCAACAGTTGGAAGACTCCCCGTTTCCTTCGCTAGCCTGACCTTTTCTTGACATGCTGACTGTCAAGGGACAATTTTTGGGTGGTGAGGAGGATTCTCCACAGCACAAACGTCTCCAAGGGACTGCTTGCAAAGCTACTATCCCGGTCCGACAGGCTGACCCTCGTCTCGCTTCAGCTCTCACTTCAGGTGCTTCAGGAATACTTTGCAACCTTTGCGAGAGAGAAGGCCTCGGCCTGTGATGATCATAACCCAGCTGGTTTGGAAATTATGTACGCGCCGAAGAATTCCATATCTGTTTACTTTACTATTAAAAACTTGGGACCACAAATGATGGATTAAGTGAAAGAAGCAGGAACTCAAATGCCCAGCTCGGCAAACTTCACAGCGGCGGATCAGCATTTAGAGAAAATGGATGACGTGACAAGGCAGAGAAGACAGTTCAACATTCAGGTTGCAAAAACAGTTGTGAAAGTAGAAAACGCAGCCACGGTGGAAGCTGCCATGAGTCTCTTTCCTGGCCTTGCACAAGATTTGTGGTTGGCTTCTTCTACCCAGACTTCAAGAAGCCAAAAGAGAGGCTTCTGACCTTGTAAAAAGGAGCAGATTATTCCCAATGGCCTTTTGGTGGTTTTAAAGGCACCTCATCCAATGCATGAGAGGTCGCCCTTAGCTGATACAGATAGTCCTTGACTTACAATAGTTCATTTTAGTGACCACACCGGCACTGAAAAAAAAAGTAACCTATTAATGTTTTTCACCTTTACGACTATTGCGGCATCCCCATGGTCACGTGATCAAAATTTGGACGCTTGGCAACTAACTCACGTTTATGACAGTTACAGTGTCCTAGGGTCCTTCTGCAACCTTCTGACAAGCAAAAGTCAATGGGGAAGCCAGATTCACTTAACAATCGTGTGACTAACTTATACAATGGCAGCGATTCACTTAACAACCATGGCAAGAAAAGTCGTAAAACGGAGCAGAATTCACTTAAGAGCTGCCTCATTTAGCAATATAATTTTTGGGATCAATTATGTCGAGGATTATCAGTGTGTTACAGCACACAGCCCCTTCAAGGAAGAAGGCTGCTCTTCTAAAGCCGACTTGAGTAACACATTCCTTTGTTTTGACATTTGGCAACACCAATGAAATGAGGGGAAAAAAAAATCTGTTTGGCTAATGGAAAGGGAGGGGGAACCTTCAAATCACTCCAATAGTTTTTGCAGAACAGAGAGTGAATTTCTTCTCCTACTTACGTCTCTGGAAAGGGTTGACCTTGCCCAAAGTTGCCGATTTCAGTGCTGGGCCAACAATGTTTGTTTATACAAAATCAGGCTGAGTCCTTAAGCAGAAAGCTAATCACCAACTGTGTAAAGCAGCCCAAATGTAGTTGATAAGCCCTCCGCATCGTGAGTTTCCAAGTGTGTTTATTCAAAACACGCCCAGAAGTTTCACCCGCTCTCTAAAGCTAGAGGACCTTACTGGTGATGCCTTTCTTTCTTTCTTTCTTTCTTTCTTTCTTTCTTTCTTTCTTTCTTTCTTTCTTTCTTTCTTTCTTTCTTGTGATTTATTGCAAGAGAAGAAGAAAGGAAAAGAAACCCAGAGAACAGAGATCCAAGAAGAGGATCAAAACAATAACATCCTCATCCCAAATAGAACAGAAACACAGCTCTTGTAAGGTTTTTCTTGATTAAATAAAAACTCACCACAGGGAGGAAAGAGACCACTGACTTTTCTCCCTTTTAATAGTTTATCTGCTCAGCTTTTATCTACTAAAGTCCAACTGCAGGAGGCACATTTGAGGTTGTATCCATAGGTCTGTACAATTCCTCCCCTCCCTACTTCTACTACAAGACATACTTTCCTCTCTGGTTGCTTTCAGTTATACACACTTCAAAGGCCGAAGAGACATTATCAAGACTCTGGAAAGTTCAGTGTTTTAAATTTCAGTATGGGATCTCAAGGACGAGGTGATGTTTTTGCAGCCCACGTGGCATGATCTATTCTCCAAACAACTGAAAGTGGGGGGGGGAAATGCTACATTCTTGAATGTTTGGTGAGTAACCCTGGAGGACGTGCAGACACACACAAACACACACAGGCGGGCACACACACAGAAGTACAATCTGCTAGAATGAAGTGAGAAACTCCGAATGGCAAAACATGGACCATTTACGGCTTATCCTGGGCCATGGTTTTTCCAGGCCGTAACTGGGAGTCAGTGTGGTTTCAGAATATATGAAGCCTGAACAGCCGAGGCTGAGAAGCTGGTTTGTTGGTTTGATGGCCCACTTTGTATCGGTTTGCAGAGCACAAACAATTATTTGAGGTACAAATGCTGTAAAAATATTCTGGAATTCTCCCTCCTTCAATACAGTAAGATACGATACAATACAGTAAGCACACTGGCAAATGTTACAAATGAAATTCTGTTGCCTGCTCCCAAAAGAAAGTATATATCAACTCATAAGATACATAACACACATACACATGCTATATACATTCTGTCTCTATCTCTCTATTTCTCTATCTCTCTATCTATATCTATAACTAAATCATCTATATCTATATCTACACCCGTACATATATATTCATATATATACATATACATGAGAGATCTGTACACAGGTAGTCCTCGGATTACAACCATTCACTTAGTGACTGTTCAAATTTACAACAGCATCGAAAGTGACTCGTGCGAGGCTCGTGCTGTCGCCCCTGCGTGAGAATCGCGCCACGAGCCCCAACGATGCCATCCTGGCAAAAGGTTTACACCGCCACTCTGACACGAGGTTCGTGCCACTGCCCCTGTGTGAGGATTGCGCCGCAGCCCGCAGCGATGCTGCCCCAGCATGAGGCTCGTGCCACGGCCCGTGCGAGGATCGTGCTGTGGCTCATTTGCCACTTGCAGTGCTGCCGCCGCCTGCACAAGGTTTGTGGCAATGCCGCCACCTGTGGGTGGTGCACCGCCACCCACCTGCCGCTCGTGGCACTGCTGCCCCCTGTGCAAGGTTTGTGGCAGCACCACTGCCCGCACAATACTCGCGGCAACAGAGGCACGAGGGAGGGTGAGCATGTGCACAAGCACGTGCACTGTCCAGCTACTCATGCGGCCCAGTGGCCAAGAGGCTATAGCCTGGTAGTGGGCCGGTCACTAAATTTACATGAATAGGGAGAACCGGCTGGCTTCCAGAAGTCCAGGCTAGATCTCGGAGGCCTGGACGAGTCTTCCCAGGCCTAGAACAGACCACTGGAAGTGTGTGGATGCCACCTCCGGAAGTCCGTTCTAGGCATTGGAGGCCTGGAGGAGTCCTCCCAGGCCTAGAACAGCCCATCGGAAGTGTATGGATGCCACTTCTGGAAATTCGTTCTAGGATCGGAGGCCCATGCCTGCATCAAATATGGGAACCGGTTGTTCAGATATTTGAATCCCACCACCAGCTGCAGCCCATAGGTTGGGAACCTCTGCTCTATAGGCAAGGTGAGTTGCTAGATGCTTTATATCTGACTGGCCAGGATCAGCTTTCCCCTTATTATTTCAGAGTTCAAAACCTCCAAGCATGGAAATCCCATTTCCCCTCTCAGACTGATGTGTCAGGACAGTGAAACACATGTTAGAGATACTATCAACGAGTAGTATCCTTTAAACATTCCTAGAAAAGCAACAACTCAGCCTGAGTCAGACTTACCAGTCTTTTCTGTGGCTTGATAAGAGGCCTGTTGATCCCGTTCATTTTGTGATAGAGGCCACAGGCATTGCACAGATAATGCCCTGTGCCATCTTTCCTCCATAAGGGGGTGGACATGGCCCCACAGTTAACACACTCTCGGCCATCGGGAAATTCCTCCAAGAACTCTGAAATGAGGTGGAAAAAAGAGAATGGTGAGAACTGAACCTCGGGTAGCAATCATGTCAGCCCTTCAACTGCTAATACATGCAGTCCTCAACTTACAACAGTTCATTTACTGACCGTTCAAAATGACACGGATACTGAAAAAAAAAACGACCTCTGACTGTTTTTCACACTTGCAACCATTGCAGCATCCTCACGGTCACAGGATCAAAATTCAGACTCTTGGCAACTGACTCATATTTACGAGGGCTGCAGTGATCCCTTTTTTGCGATCCCTTCTGACAAGCATAAGTCAATGGGGAAGCCAGTAACTTAACAACTACAGTGATTCACTTAACAACTGTGGCAAGAAAGGTCGTAAAATAGGTCAAAATTTACTTAACAAATGTCTCACTTAACAACAGAAATTTTGGGCTCAATTGTGGTCATAGATTGAGGATTACCTGAACTATTTTTATTATAAGGCTACAATAACTGAATGTATCTGAATGTGTTTTCTTTTTGTGTCTTTATCTTTGTGAGAAAAAGGGAGGGGTTTGTCCAAGACGCTTCCTCAGGTTACAGTTCTGTCCTGGAGTCAGATTTCTGTTATCAGACCATTTCTGTTAACAGACCAACTCTTCTTTCTGTTCTTCAGGATTATTCCTTCAACCCGTTATACATCAAGACACACAACCCATAATCTAACACTTGTAGCAATGCTTTACTGATCCTATCCATCAGTGGATCACAATATATGCGTCTATCTGATGGACTCAAAGAAGGACTCAAAGGAGGAGTTCAGCATTTCTGCCTCAGAGGACATGGTAGACCTCAAACTAGGCAGCACGCAGAGCCCTCTTTGGGGGTACACATGCCGTCACCCAGCCCCGCCTGTCCCCGTGGCTCCCTCCTCACCAGCAGCCCCCCGGGAGGAGAGTCGCCCCCGAGCGTGGCCCATGCGGAGCTGCACAGCCAAGGACATGGCAGCCGGGCAGCATAGACAAGACTCCGCCCTCGCGCCGTGTCACGTGCAGATGATGCTGCGGGACATGGGCGGAGAGTATGGCCGCCATGGCACTGCTGGGCCGCCTGGGCGATATGCTGCAGCAGGCCGTGGAGGTGGTGGGTGGACCTGTGGGTGGGTGGGATGGGGGGCAGGGCGCAGTTTTGGGGCCCTTAGTCTCTAAAAGGTTCACCATCACTGCTCTAGGAAAACAGAGACTTTACCAATGTCATTAAACAAGGGATGACTAAAGTCACATATACCAAAAGGTTTCAAGCTCTCTAAGAAGCCTTCAAAAATATTTTGCACACACAATTGTTAACTGATAAGGTACTGACAAATCTGTCTCATTTGTAGCCAGCATCTACATAACCAGGGTTTTTTTTTCTCATAGAACGCCCAGAACGGAGTTCCGGCACCTTTGTTGGATGGAACCTTGTAGGGTAGGCAAGGCGGGGTTGTATGACGTGTGTGAGTTCTGGCACCTTTTTTTTTTTTTAACAAAAAAAGCACTGTACATAACCCATCTGTTTTCTCTTCCTAGATCTGAATTTAAATCCTACATTAGTGTAGCCCAGTGTTTCTCAACTTTGGCAACTTGAAGATGGATGGACTACAACACCCAGAATTCCCCAGCCAGCCAGCCAGCCAGCCAGCCAGGTCCATTCATCTTCAAAAGTTGCCAATGTGGACAAATATTCAACTAGCCATTCTGTGAAGCTGAGGAAGCGAGTTTCAGCTCACAAAAGCATCTGCCTTTTAATAAAATTTGCTAATCAAAAAAGATGCTACCAGATTCCTCTATTTTTTTTTTTTACTATGGTAGATGAACAGACTTTCCTACAATGTCCGTGGTATGCCAATGCAGCGCATGCAGATGGATGCAACGGATGGAAACTAAGCAAGGAGAGAAGCAGCCTACAAGTAAGGAGAAACTTCCTGACAGTTAGAATAATTAACCAGTGGAACAACCTGCCTCCAGAAGCGGTGAATGCTCCAACACTGGAAGTTTTTAAGAAGGGACTGGATAGCCATTTGTCCGAAATGGTGTAGGGGTTCCTGCCTGAGCAGGACTAGAAGATCTCCAAAGTCCCTTGCAACTTTATTATTATTATTATTATTATCATCATCATCATCATCATTATGCTTAACCCCCAGAAATCATGGGCACTCCATCACTGGAAATGTTTAAGAAGAGACTAGACAATCACTTGTCTGAGATGGTATAGGTTTTCCTGCTTGAGCAGGGGGCTGGACTAGAAGACCTCCAAGGTCCCTTCCACCTCTATTCTATTCCAATTTCTAAGTTCATGTACATTCCCTGGGACTTATCATGTGTTTGCTTAGCCCACATTTCATTTATTTATTTATTAATCGAATTTATATAGCCACCCATCTCAGAATCAGAAGAGAAGCAGAATAGAGCTGGAAGGTACCACCTTCTAATCCAGCCCCCTGCGCGAGCAGGAGACCCTATACCATCTCAGACAAGAGACTGTCCAGTCTCTTCTTAAAAACCTCCAGGGATGGAGCGCTCACGACTTCTGAAGGCAAGTTTGTTCCACTGGTTAATTGTCCTCAATGTTAGGAAGTTTCTCCTTAGTTCTAGGTTGCTTCTTTCCTTGATTAGTTTCCATCCATTGTTTCTTGTCTTGCCTCCTGGTGCTTTGGAGAATAAGTTGGCCCCCTTCCTCTTTGTGGCAACCTCTCAAATACTGGGATACTGCTATCATGTCCCCCTTTAGTCCTTCTTTTCTCTAGACTAGCCTAACCCAAATCCTGCAACCGTTCTTCATATATTTTAGTCTCCAGGCCTTTAATCATCAGTTGCTCTTCTTTGTACTATTCCCAAAGTCTCAACCAAGAGACTTTGTTTAGGGTGACTCTAAACCAGTGGTTCTCAATCTTTTTAATGCCGTGACCCCCAACCGGTTGTAAGTCGAGGACTACTCAACTGGTGCAGCACCGTTTGCAGAATGGGACTTTTGGTGGGCTCAGCAGGGCAGAGACAGCCTGGACAATTCCTATTGGCTTTTGAAAGCCAATATAATTAGACTCTAGTCAAGAGAGTCTATTCTATTGGCTTTCAAAAGCCAATGGAATAAAAGGGAGTAGCACAGCTAAGGAAAAGGGGGAAAAAAGTGACGGACTGCGTTGTTTAGCGACCCCCGTGAAATGGTCGTTCGACCCCAAATGGGGTCCCGACCCACAGGTTGAGAACCACTGCTCTAAACTCTGAAACTTGTTGATTCAATGTGTTCTATAAATCCAGATAGTAGGCTAGTTTAATTTGATATCCAGGTTAAGTGTGCGAATAGAGCCAGTGAGATGATTAATATATACCAGCCTAGCTGAGCTCCACTAAGCCAGATTTTCCCTCTTCCAATGCCATAAAATCTGTTGTGCTGCAACTGCCATCAATCACTGTTTACATCAAAGCTGTACTCCCATAACGTATTTGGAAGACACCAGTTTTTTAAAAAATATTTCTATAGGGTAAAAAAGGGCAGGAAACCACACTGATAATAAGATAAAGGTAGTCTTTGACTTACAACTATTCATTGTTGTTCAAAGTTACAGCTGAAAAAAAAGTGACATGACCATGTTTCACTCTTATGGCCATTGCAGCGTCCCCATGGCCACATGATCAAAGTTCATACACTTGGCAACTGACATGTCTTTATGCTGGCTGCAGAGTCCCAGGGTTATGTGATCACCTTCTGTGGCATTCTGACAAGGTCTGAAAGTCAGACTGGTTGACAAGTGTCAAAAATGAGGTCAATGGGATTAGGGGGACAGCCATCAGAACATTAAATAGTAAGTAGCTTTTCAGTGGCCTGTTATAATTTCAAACAATCGCCAGGTGTCCCATTGTAAGTCAAGGACTACCTCTATTTTTTTTTGTTATTATTAAAAATCAGTTAAAATCAACAGCTTGAAATCTACTCCTTTCTCCCTTGCTCAGTGTACACACAGAGCCAGCGCAGCATCACGGAAGAAAACGTGTCGATGAATTCTAAAAAGGAAAGGCCGCCATCTTGGTCTTGAGGAAAAACAACCTATGAAATCTACCCCACACCATGCCTTCGGCAGGCCAGTTCAACAGTTTTATAACACTGGGCAAGGTTTTGCATTTTCAGAACGCTTCTTTAGGGAAGCTGGCAAAACTCCAAAGGAATTATAAAAGAATAAATATGGGAGGTGGTCAAGCCACTTTCACAATAGTTCTAAGCTTTGGAATGTGGGTGTGGACATGCAAATGAGCTACTCAAATAAAAAAATTAAATTTGTCTGTGTGCGAGATTCTTCCTTCACAAAAATCCACAACAACAGGCAAAGCATTGTTCCTTTCCTCTTCTGAAGAGTTTGCATCAATGCAATTTAATGTCACCAGTGCATCCACCAGGACTGAGTGTCTGCCTTCAGTCTAATTCCTGCTAAAGCCAGCCTAAAATCATCTAGACCGGCAGTTCTCAAATATTATATCTATTGATATTTGGTGATGATGTTACTTAGTTGTGTCATGAAATTTCTGCAAGCAAATAACCAGGCTTAGAGAGCACCAAGGACTCCACAGTTCAACCCAGAGATATACACATTCTCTTCTATTGATATTTACTCTATTAGAAATTAGAACTGAGAAATATTCAGATATGTATTTGATTTCATGGAACCCCCTGAAAAGAACCCAGGGTTCCCCCAAATCACATTTTGAGAACCGCTATCCTAAAGGAGTGCAGATGTGAACCACCAGTCATGTTTAGTTCTCTTTCTGATTTCTGTCTTTTTAAAAATCCCATTTGCCTGAAGAAGTATTTTCAAAGTTCAAATGTGTGAAATGTGGAATGCTTTGTAGCCTTGAAGTGGGTTAATAAAAGACGTTGGATGGAAAAAGCAAACACAGGATTCCATCTTTTGCTCATCCAGGGTCTGTGTCTGGGTATAATGTAACCTGCTTGAAGTACAGTGGTACTTTGGTACTCTCCTCCTTAATTGGTTCTGGGAGGTTCAATGAGT